GGAGGGGCTGTGAGTCCTGCTGTGGGCTGAGGCTGGAGGCATGTGGCGTGTCAGGGGCTGGCAGCAAAGCTGGGACGGAGGGTCTGAGGAGTGAGGAGGTGATAGGAACCACGGGGCATTTGAAAATGGGGTGGGGAGCACCAAAGAGGTGTCTGATCCCCAAGATGGAAGCAAATTACCTGCCCCTAGCACATGCTGTTTCTAAACTCACATGCTGTGGGTTTCTAAAGCTGAGGCGCTGCTTCCCCTTTGCCATCCGTGTTCGGCCGCTCTGTTTAGTTTCCTGATGCTCCGGTGGCCCTGAGCCACGCTTGGGCTATCATGCGCCTACTCGAGAGGCTTTGCAGGCAAAATGGGTGCAGATAAGAGGTGGTGGCACCAGCTGGAGTGTAAGCCAGGTTAAACCAGGGATCACTTTAGAGATTTAGGGGTTCAGCACTGGATTGGTTCAATGCTAGGGAGCTTGGATCAATACTGAGGCCCTAAACCTGCCACCTTCCTGTTCACACCTATGTGAAATCAGTGGTGGGGAGCTGAGCCGGTCAGGCTGTCGTTTGGAGTCATGCATGGGGCAAAGCGGGTGTTGGTCAGGCGCAGGATCCAGTTTTCTGTGCGGTTTTGGGCTGAAGAGGCTTATCTTTCTGGTTATGATGGTTCCTTAGTCTTTTCATTTAATCATATTTTTGGTTCAGTCTACATTTAAATGTCAAGCCAATGCTTATAGCATTAAGCATTGCCAGAGCTTCTGGAGAAATTCCTCTATTTCATCTCTTCTTGTTTGCTGGGGTTGGAACAGGAGCGTTTTGCTGTCAGCTTGAACACCTCTTACCTGTTTCCACCTTAGCGAGTGCTAGACACAGAACGATAGTAAGGAGGGGGCAATCTGATATAGATTTTCTCCTAAAAAACAAGGATGTTCATGATGTGGTAATTTATCTTGGCTCTCTTCAATTTAGATTTGTGTACAAGAAGCTGGCATTTTCTTGAGTTATTTAAAACATTGCTATTTGTTTATCTGGGCTGTCTTGTTTTTGGCCTTCATCTGGGACTTGCTGTAAACCATGCTGAGTTTGCTTAGTGGATGAGATAATACTCAGTACTGCTAGCAAGCTGTCTCTGAACAATGTGCAAAGCAAGCTCTGACATACATGAAGCAAAAATCTGTGTGCTCATGAGAAAAAGAGCTTTCTCCTGTCTTGCACTTGGAATATGATAGTTTGCTTTTTGACCTAAGTCAGATCTCGTTTACATCTATCAAAACAGGTTGTAAATACATGTACTGTGCTTAGCCTTATCTGAGTCTGAGTGTTTCTAGGATTCTTCATGTTTCCAAGTCTGTGATCTGAAGTTAGAAAAAGAGCGAAATGTCCTGCTTTTGGGTTTAAAGATCACCTCTGAAGTTCAGCAAGGTTTCTGTGTAGCTTTATGCAACTGGGATGATGTGTATGGTGGGTTTTTTTTTTCTCCTGGATTTTCTCTATAATCTGCTGCTCTGGCCACTGTTAAAACAACACTGGACTCGCTCAGCTGGGAAGTATGATCCAGGTTGACAAATCCACATATAATGCAAACAAAGAACAGCAAGGCAATGTTCAGTGCCTTTTGCATGGCACCATGCCAAATACTCTCGTAGAGGAAAGCATTTAAGTCATCTTTTAAGCTGGGCTCAAATCCGAAGGACTGTGTCAGCAATAACATTGCAGCTGAACATGGGCTGTGTTTTCAATTATAAAACAAGACCCACAGCAGCTTCTTCTTTTGTGATGCTGTGACTTTTTTGCTGGAAAGATTGCACTGTTGTGGCTCATGCGGCTTTCCCAACCCAGCCTCTGTTTTGGAAGGAGGGCAAACCTCTCCTGCAGGACGAGCGTGCTTCCAGAGCTGTCCCCAGGCATAGTTTGCTCTCCAGCTTGGCAGGAGCAGAAAGGGAGAGAAATCAAACCAAACCCAGTAATACCGCCTGATTGGGATGAGGCGCGGTAACCACGCAGGCACAGGGCAGGCAGGAGCTCTGGGAAACTGGGCTAAGCAACAGGTTGTTTCTCATCTGGTTGCTTGGCAGTTGGACAAGACGGCAACTGCTCTGCATTGCCATGCTGTAGAGCACGATGAAGGTGGTAGAAATTGTGGCATTACCCCTCAGGTGCTGCTGATGGGGATTTAACTGCTGAGGTATTAAATTGATCAAGGTGGATGGGGGGGGAAAAGAGAGGTAGTGGTGTTGGGGTTAGTTAAGGGATGAGGAAGGAAAGTGTTAAGAAACAGCAAGCTGGTTGCACTGCTGGGCAGTGTCTTGGAGTTCAAAGCTAAGCTTGTCCTTTGGTTGCTGAGCCAGCAAGACCTGTGAGGTTTAGAGGCAAGACAGGCAGCGTTTAGGGAACAGATGACTTGCTGCTTTGCTGGTAGCATTTAAGGCCATGGAATTATGTACAAGAAAAGGGGAATTGGGCAAAAAAATAGAAAAAAGGAGGGAGGAGGTAGGAAAACCCTTTTTTGGGATGGTTTTAGGGTCATAGGTTCTTAGCACTGATGCAGACTTTCATCAAAAACAGTAAAACTGCCCACTCCTATGCTTGGTTTTCAGCCAGTACTTGAAAACTGTTTGAGTCATGTTTGTCACAGAGCTGGCAATTGTAAGAATAAAATGATGGATATCCACATATGTTTGGGCATCCCTATATTCTAAGGTATTAATAGTTTGGTTCTGCGGAGCAAGAAATGTGCTGGTGAGACCATTCTCGTGGCTGTGCTAAGCACTTGCTGTCCCAGCAGCGTTTTTCAGTCCTGTCCACAAAAGTGCAGCGTAGCACTGAAATAATAAGCTTGTGTGTGTGTCAGAGGTGGGATGTCAGGTCTTGGCAGGGAAAGATTTCAATTTCAAGCTTGAGAAAACTGAAAAGTAATGGCTTTTCTTTAAAAAAAACAAAACAAACCCAAACAAAACAACAAACTGCTTTGCATCTCCCGGGAACAAAAGAAGGGAAATAAATGACAGGGCCTCGGGGTGAGCATTGCAAGTAGGGTTAATTGTTCCTTCCATCAAGATGCAACATGGGAAAGTATCGAAAGTATCGTTAAGGGGGGTTGGCAGTTTCCTTTGTCTGAAACATGGACTTCTCGCTTCCAGTTGAGATATTAAATGTGCAGTGCTTTTTTTGGAAAACGAAATTGTGTACCCAGGGGGAAGACAGCTGCAGAACGTGTCAAGATCTGCTGATTATAAGGAGTTAAAAACTGCCTTTTCTCCTCTGAGATTGAGAGTTTAAAAAGCTGGGCTGAGCACTACTGCTTTCCCAGCCCGTCCACCTCAGGCTGTCGTGTTTTCACTAGCATTGTTCATCTGAGCCCTTTAAATCCCTGGGTTCGCCAAGTAATGTCAGCAGCAGGTGCAGAATGAAGATTGTGAAACTTTTGCCTGTGGATGTAAAGCATTTGCTTCTTCCTTTACGTTACGCACTCACCAACCGTCCTTTCTCTGAGTTTGCCTTGCAAACTGGGTGTTGTCAGCTCTGAATGCTGTTTGACTGCTTGTTCTTTTTTTAATGCTTATTCTCAGGTGTTTTAAGGAACTGGAACCATGACGGACTCCAAATACTTCACAACCAATAAAAAAGGTTAGTGTTAAGTTGGTGCAGTGGATTGGAGGTGGTGGGTGGCTATTTTTACACAGCTTTTTTAACTGCATGCAGAAGAACTTGTGCTTTCCTGTTAGCTCTGTCCCTGTTTCTTGTCTTAATCATCCAGGGAGAAACTTCTAAAGTAGGTCGCATGGTGACAAAAGACAAAACTAATGTATTGTATGGTTTTGTGATGCACAAAATGATCCGAATCGCTGCTTTTTCAAGGATCAGAGAACAAAACATTGAGATTTGAGTGCAGATCTGGTCAGAGACAAAGTTTTAGTTATGGACTAACAAGTTCAAGACTGAGGATGGTTGTTCCTTTGGGCATCACAGGATTGAGTTGCTTGAGAGACATTTAATATTTAAGATATAAGTGTATATCTCTACATTAAGCTGTTGCAAAGATAATGGGATTTCCTATTGCTGCTTCCTTCAAAGCCGCAGTGCTCCGTTTGACTTTCCCTTGGCTTTACTGTACGTGTGGTGGTCACCTCACCTCAGGACAAGCTGCTGCCATTAAAAATGGGAAGACGGGAAAGGATCTTTGGGGACATTTTACCCATTCAACTGTTTCAGTGGAGGACTTGTTCTGCTGAAATTGTCCCAGGCAGATTTTTTTTTCTAACCTGTTCTTAAACAAAACAGTGTTTATCCCAACTCTTGCTAGCTGCAATTTAAGCCCGATGTTGCTCACCTTTCTCCAGTAGATGTGGAAAATGGTTCGCTTTAACCTCTTTTCAGAATGGCTGAATGTTTCTGATGCCAGTGAAAAAACTACAGTGTTGATCTATTTATGTTTCATTAAGCTTCAGAATGAGCTCATAAATTAAGCAAATGCAGTTCACATCTTTCTAAGGAACAACTCTATCTGTAAGTTCAGTCCTAAAGTATCAGGCACCTTTTTTTGGGATGGCTGCAAGAGGCCAGCCTTGAGCTCTAGTAAGCACGCTGCTGCTGGCTCAGCTCTGCTCCGGGGCACCATCTCGGTGTGAGTAACGTGAGCATCTCTTTCTCAGGCAGGAGGTATTACAAGTGGTCACTGCACTGCATTCTTCAGAACAGTAACTTCTCTTCTTTTTTGAAGTACCTGTTAGACTTTTTGTGCCAGGCTCTTCAGTAATTAGTGCTGCTGATCTGATAAAGTGGCATTGGTGTGTAGGAATCGAAGATTAGGGGCTGGAATGTACTTTGCCAGAGATATTTTGATATTTGTAATGTGTCCTCAGCCTGTGGCTTCCAGTGGGAATATTGCTCGCTGTCCTTCCTGGGAAAGCTGTCTGTCGGTTGGAAGTGTTGTCCTTCTCGCACCACGTGCTCTGTCTGGAACAGGCCTGATAAGCTGCCTTTTGCATGTGTTGCTTTATTTTGCAAACTTGCTTTGCAAACTTGCTTTGCCACTTTTCGTGATGCAGCCTGAACTGACTTTCCATGCAGTAATATCTGGAAGAATTAGTGTCATGGGAAAGGCTGCTTCAGCAACCTCAGAATCCAGGCGAGCTGTGTTACTTGCTGTTTTTGTTAGTAGTAGCTCTGTCTTTCTAGCTTGGAAGGAATTTATTCCACTGGACTAAATTTGTGCTTTCCTGTTTCTGCCACTGTGTATCACGGCATTTCGGCTACGCTGCAGTCTGCTGTTTTCTCACTGCGTTTGCAGGAAGCAGGCGATGATGAGCAAAAGTTAAAAAGTCTGGGCAAAATTCCTAGCGAAGTTAGCTTTTTCTTGCAGGCGCTGATCTGGCGCCTCCAAATATCTTTTCATCCTGGTTATATAATAGTTGCCTCTGAGAAACAGACGCTGCAGCGATGTGGTTTAGTGTTCTAGAAGTGGGAGAGCTGCAACATGGAATCATAGAACGCAGCGTGGTTCTTGTTAACTGCTTTTTTGTTAGCAAGTTATAGCCCATATCATTCTCTGAGTGTCGCAGCTTTGCTTTTCATTGAACCGTGTTCTCCGTAAAGTCTGACAGCTTCCACGTGTTGCTGTACCAGTTTTATGGGAACAAGAGGCCAGGAAAACAAAAAGTCACTTTTAAACTACCCCTAAAGCAAGATGCTTTTCTTCTCCCAAGAGGCTCAATCTGTTTTGTCTTCTGCCAGGAGAGATTTTTGAACTGAAGGCTGAACTCAATAATGAAAAGAAAGAGAAGAGGAAAGAAGCTGTAAAGAAGGTTATTGCAGCCATGACCGTGGGGAAGGATGTCAGGTAAAAGCAACTTTTCTTGCACCTGTAGCAGCTCTGGTTCTCCTGGGAGTCTGTTGGGTGTAGTGGCACACACCTCCATGGAACAGCTCTGAGTTTGTCATCTCGGCTGGGTAGTGAGGCTGGCTGTGTCCTTGCATATGCTATGCCTGAGTCACAGGTTTCTCAAGCTCCTTCCTGTTACTGAAAGCAAAAGAAACAACCGTTTTCAGTGCCGGTTTAGCTACATGCCTATTAGCCCTTTTTATTTAAAAACCCATCCAGAATTCAGCCATTTTATATGTCACTTTAGATGATGTTTTCTCACTGCTTGCTAGCCTGGGTTTTAGTGTTAGAAAGGTGATTCCAAGTGTTCTTAGCCTTACTTGCCATAGCATAAATTTAAGCTACATTTTAAAATGAGTGATTTTTAAATTGAACCTTTGCCTTGTAGCGACTAAAGGACACAGGCATTTACCTTCTGCAATACTGTCCCCGATACTTTTTTTCTGTCTTTGAGGCAACCAGAAAAACTTGCTTGAGTGAATGCTTTCTCCCTTCCAGCTTCTCCTGTTACTGGAGTCTGCCATGAAGTTGCAGTAGTCCTGGATTCATGGCAGTGTGGTCTGTTGCCACGGAAATTAATATAATGTTGCAAATTTAGCATCATGACTTCATCGTAGAATGAAGGAACAGATAAACTGGAAGGAAGAAAAAACAATCTTTTTGGCCAACAGCACTTGCCCTTCACCTTTAGATCTCTACAGCATACCTGAGAGCTGCAGATACCCTTGTGTAACTTGTGTTCTTCTGCAGTGCTGTTTATGGATTGCTGCTTGATATTTGAGTGCAATTCAGCTTGTCAGCGTTTAAGCTCCTAATCCCTCCAGAGTTTACTAGTCTGAAATTTGGCAGGTTCTTTGTAAGTGTCCCGCATTACCAAAACATTTTTAAGCAACTCTTTTTTTTTTTTTTTTTTTTTCTTGTGGGTTCATTTCCAGGCCTGGCATGGTAGAGTTTTCTTGTTTGGTGAACTCCCCAATTAAAACACTTCTAGAAAATTAATTTTCACCTTTTCTAGAACCGACCAATGTTAAAGCCCTAGAAGAATTTAAATGATAAAGCTGTTATAAAAGCCATTGCAAGCTGTTTTGGGAGGGAAGACCTCTCATTAGACAGCAGGGTGTCTAGAGTGGAACTCCAGTTTTCCTGGCTTCCTTGATATTGTTACTATCCCCTTTGCATGCCATGCAATCTCACTGCTTTTTCTCTATTCTTGCCTCCTGTTGTCTTCCAGCTCACTCTTTCCTGATGTTGTGAACTGCATGCAGACTGACAACTTGGAGCTGAAGAAGTTGGTCTACCTGTACCTGATGAACTACGCCAAAAGTCAGCCAGATATGGCCATTATGGCTGTCAACAGCTTTGTGAAGGTAACTTGCTCTCACGGCTCATCAGAAAATAGTCCAGCACAGTGTCTGTCATGATGTCTCCTTTGTCCGTTAGCCTTTGTGAGCTGCTGTTTATCTCTGCTTTTGTACTTGAGTCTCTGGGCTGGGGGTGCTTGTAGAGGAGCAGAAAGTAAGGAGTTGGCATGCTGAATCCAACAGGTCTGGGTCCTCTCTCTCACTTGCTACTGCTAGTTATTGCAGAGGAGATGACTTAAGCGCCCCTGTAAGTGATTATGAGAGAGCCTGCTACAGGAGAAGCTGCTTCTGTCGTTTTACTAATCATTAAAGACAATCTTCTGGTATTGACTAACAGATTTTATATTGTTCATCTTCCAGCCTTTGTAGTATCTCTGTCATACGGATATCTAATTCTTGTTTGAATGTTTCAGCTGTGCTCTGTGTGGAAAACCTTTATCTCTGGTGAAACTGAAAGGCGGTTCACTGGAAAAATAACAGCCCGATAGCTGTATTGCCTTTAATTCTGTTGTCAAGTTGCCTCTCCTTACCTAGGAGATGTTATTTCAGTCCCACGTTATTTAAGTTAAAACCCAGTGCTTAGGAAAAGTTCAGGACTCCTAGAGCATTATAAAATCTGAGACACTGGGGAGTCCGATTGTGTTTTAAGTTTCTGTTGTGGTGCCTGAGGCTGAAAGAGGTTAGAAGACCTAGGCTGAGAGCAGGTCTGCTCTTCTGGCCAGAGAAGATGTCCCTACCTTCCTCGCTGGAAAGAATATTGTTGTCTGTCATATCTTTAAAGTGTAATTCTGTTAGAATGGACTAAAAAAACAAACATGATCTTTTCCAGCTTCATGCTTTTCCATGCAAGGAAATGTCTGATGTCCCTTTTGGCAAGTTGAGGGACAAGTGTTAGTAAAGAGAAAGTGTTGACACTAGCCTGCACTAGCTCAGCACTTCACACGCAGTTCACAGTTCAAGGTATTGAATGCGCTGGTAAGAGATGTCGCTTCTCTTGTATGCGTTAGAAGTGATGCATTCAGGTGTTTTTTCAGCTGTAGGAAATATAAACAGTGAAAGGTAAATGTACCTTATGCTTTTGTAGGTCATTCTGCATCCATCCTTTTATAGGCTGATTTTGGAGGAGTGTTGCTCAGAGACGTAGATGGATTGGATGTATGGAAAATTACGTAGGCTTGAAGTAAAAAGTGTTAGATTCCCTTCTGGTTTGTTTGGGTTTTTTTTCCCCTCATCAGAAAAGCACCTCTGGAGTAGCCTTTGCCTAGTGCTTCATATGTTGCAAACTTAAGGGATGCTTGTGTCTAAAACTGATGGCCTGTGAGAAATAGACCTTGGTGACTTTTGCATTGTGTTTAATTGTTGACTTTTCCCATTATATTCCCTTTCTCCTTTAAACCAGTAAGGCTGGAAACCAGTATTTTATTCTGTCTGAAAGTTGCCTGTGGCTAGCTTTTGGGTGATGAAAGCTGCCTCTAGCTTAGCTGTACTTTGGATTTGGCTGCTAGATCATGTTGAAAGAAGCTTTGCCTGGGGAGAACCAAGGGACACCGAGATCACAATTTTACTATTTTACAAGCTGTCATAGCCTGAAAACATCTTGATGGTGTACGATGTTTCTGTGAACCAGTAAGTTCCACCTTTTGTCCCTGATCTGAAATAATTGCCTTTTTTTAGCATGTAATTAGAGAATGTTTTTTGTTTGAAATAAGAACAGCCTGATTCTGGCTGCAGGGAAGATATCGGTGGCTAGTGGTGCAGATTTGTTTACCGCATATTCTGTCCCCTTGCAGGACTGTGAGGACCCAAACCCTCTCATCCGTGCTCTGGCTGTCCGTACAATGGGATGCATCAGGGTGGACAAGATCACGGAGTATTTGTGTGAGCCTCTTCGCAAGTGTCTGAAGGATGAAGACCCTTATGTACGAAAGACCGCAGCTGTCTGTGTGGCGAAGCTGCATGACATCAATGCCCAGATGGTGGAGGACCAAGGATTTCTGGATTCTCTGCGCGACCTGATTGCAGACTCCAATCCCATGGTAATGTGTATGTCCTTCCAGCGCATTGCTTGAGTTTGTAATGGGCAGATAATCAGAAACATGAAGGCTTTTTAATTGCAACTGATGCACCGTGATGAATGCATTACTTAGAGAACAGTTGTTGCCTCAGAAAATAGGAAATACCTTCTATTCTTAGATCTGTTTGGGGTTTTGCCTGTCTCGAGCGCTGCAGCAAAAGTTTAACTTCCTGATCAGATGAGTCAGAAGAGCAAGAAATACTTGATGGTGCTACCTTGGTGACGGCTTGTAGCTGTTGCCTTCCTGCAGGCTTTGGCTCTTTTTGGAGTAAGAGGTTGGATGAACTCATTCACTAATGCAGATAAATCTGCTGGCCTGTAATGAGTGGAGCAAAATCAATGCTTATGTTTTTAATAAAGTTAAACGAGTCGTCAGAGCAGAGGTGGAGATCAAGACCAAGAATTTCACAGGAGTAAATTACCTACTAAATCAGTATTTCATCATAGTTGATGAAGGGTCCATTTCCATGCCAGGCATCTTCCACTGTTATTTTGTAACTAAAAGATGGTGGACAAGATGGAAGTGCCCCACTGCATAATCCTTTCATTCAATACTTTTTTCCTGTGATCTGCTGGCGTCCAGTGAGCATACCGATATCGTTGTAGCTCCTAGCAGGGAAGAAAACTTCTGCAGCTCGGTTTAACTCGGAGTTTAAGGATGTGACTGCTACTTTTTTAGCTCTTTTAGAGCACAGATCTGATTTGACTTCGCTTAATGGCATAATATCACATTATTAGGGCAGGTCTAACAGCTCTTTCTATGGTGCATGAATCAAACCACATAAAGCAAACTGCTGTCCTGTTATAGCTGAATTTGGGCAGGTTTGGGTAAGTCAAGTGCAGGTGGTAACGTATCAGCCCCTTTAGTAGGAGAGTGAAGGCTGCTGATTGCTTTTCTTATGGCTGTCTAAAGACAATAAAACTAAAGGTGTTTGGCTTTCACAGGCACAAGTCTGTGAGCTGTGGTGCTATCAGATGATATAGGCACCTATTGCCTCTGATATCCAGCTCTGTCACAAGCTGTTCTTTTTTTATGTCTCCCTGATTATTTTTTTTTTATGCCAGGTTTCTGCATGAATATTGATGACTACTTGAAGATGCTCTCTCTGTCTAGGCAATTTTGAGGCATATAGGGGAACACCTGCTTTTTTAATTTAATGCTAAGGGTGTGCCTTGCAGCCTCTGAGAGTACTTGATTGGGCTGCTTTAGATCCACTTAAATACTGGCCCCTGGCATTCACTAGCTCACAGGCAGCAATGGAGTGTGCTGTGGACAGGGATATAACCTACTCTTCTCCTAGCCTTGGTTCCAACTTTTTAATTTTCTTCTGCTGATTACAGCCACATGGATATGAGTTGAGGAGCTCAGGCTGAAAAGATGTGGTACTTCAGGAGAAATTAATACGGTTTTGCTTGCCCTTTCTGCTCGTTGACCTCTATGGAACTAACTGTTTTGGTAAATGAACCATTGGCTGTTATAAGAGCACTGATATCTATTTCAAAAGTACATTAACTTAATACTGACTTAAATGAAAGGAGAGAAAAGGAGAAATACCAAAGGGCAGTGTAAGCTCCATTTGCTAAATAAACCACCAAAAGTAGCATAGGGATTCCTAATAAAACATCAGTACAACTAATGAGCTCCTTGAGCCCATCCCATGAGGATGGGCTGTGACAGCAAAACCTTTGCAAGCTGCTGCAATTGATTGCAGCTCTACAGCTATTGAAGCTGTGCAGGATCAGAGTACCTGCCTCATGTTGTACTCACCTGCTCTTCCCGAAGCTGGGGATTCACAGCAGGAGAATGCAATTTGGAAGAGTGATAGTAATAGTGATGAAGAGGAGAGGCCTGTGGTGTGTTTTCAGATCTGCAGGCTTTGGGAGGATCATGTGGCTGGTGTTCAATGTACTGGTTTCCCAGGTTGTACTGTAGACAGGGCATTATGTTCTTGCTTTTTAAGGGTGCACAGGGAGAGATTTTACCAGGTTTGGGGCTCTTACAGCTGCTGACTTAATACAATATTTAATCTGGTTATGATTTTTAGTAGATACACACATTCCTTCTAGTTAAGTTTATTGCTTTGGTCCCCTTTGAAATTCATGCCTTTGTGGCACAGTGATTCCCTCAGAAGTACAGGAGCTATCCACCCCTAATTAAGGTTCATCTTCCTAGTCAAACCGTCCAGCTCACTGCTGCTTTCTCGATGTGAAACTCCAGTGGGAGTTCTGATGACCAGGAGTTGTGTTTGCCAGTTAAGTTATATTTGTGTGCAAGTTGATATTCGTTAAGGTATTTCTCTGATCAGGTGGAACACAGCTCTGCCTGGAAGCTCTTTTTAAGTAAAATGTGTGTATTGGTATTGGCTATCAAGAGAAAGATTACTGAAAAGAATGGTACAGATGGATCTATCCTTATGGCCTATTTCTTTGTAAATGGTGCATCTCAATCATCGCAACCTGTTATCGAAACTCATTCATATTTATATTATAAATGTTTCTCCTCTTTTGATGACTTGTGGAAATAGGCAACTTTAGACACTTAATGAAGCAGAATTTTGTAGACAGGAAAACCACACTTGTTCTCTTTTCTGAGAAATGAGGATTTTGAGCAGGAGCTAAAAAACTTCTGTTGAAAAATAGTCTTCAAGAAGGGTTTTAGTATGGTTTTGTAACTGGCTGCCTCTAGCACATGAGCAAGCACTAAGCATTCTAGCTGAGTGCTGGGTAGAGTAACAACTCCATCTGTGGCTTGCTAATTGCCTTGTAATTGTGCAGAGATCAGGGTGTGTGTTTCTATCAGTTCAAATCACCCTCATCATAATGATGTCTGATTAAGTTGGAGGTGACCTTGTCAGAAATGTTTTGGGTTTGGGGTTTTTTTTCCATATTTTTGGACTAATAGTTTATTATCATAGAATCGTGCAAACAGAGATTGGGGATGTTCGGGGCATTGCTTTGAAGTCCTGTTGAGGTGCTGTAGGTGCACAGCCAAGGTGCTTTCCCCCTTTATCTGGGCTTTTTGTTGTCAGGATCTGGCCTTTGTTCAAGTACAGTAATACAGTGACCTTCTGAACAGGTGTAGGATTGCACCCTTCCAGATGAGCTGGCTGTAGTTTTGATTAAAGGACCGACACGTGAGTCTGGTGGTTCACTAGCCTTTTATGAAAAATCTCTGTGGTAGCTTTGCAGTTTCTCCTGGATGAATTAATTCAAACTTCTAATTGCATATATATTGATATAGGATATATATGGCAAGTTACCAGATGGGTTGGTGGCTTACTACATTTCAGCTGAGTTGTCTGAGATGTCTTACCTTGTGCAGCCAATGGGCCAGTAATGCATACAAGGGCATGGTTCAGTTACTGGGTGGTTACACTGCAGAAGTTTGATTGTGGATGGAGTCTTTAATCTCGTTTTACAGATGGGCCTAATGTGCTTGCGGC